GCTGGGTCCCGCACTGCAGGGCAGCAGTGTGGGAACTCGGTGATGCTATCCCTGTTTCCAGCCTGGGTGAAATTCTGAGCCCAATGTCATCTTCCCACATGCTAAAAATCCTCACAGAGCCCTTCTCTGGCTTCTTACCCCACCTTCCCTCCCTGCAACCTGAGCAGCATGTGGAATTAAACACTGTTTTCATATAGCCTGTGCCACAAATGCAGGGGAAAGACAATTTTCTCCCCAACTTGAAAAGAGAAGGAGATCTGGGGTTTGTAATAATAATGGCTTACAACAGCATAAATCAGCTCGCTGCAGGCCACAGAGCAAAACAAGCTGCTGAGGTGCCCTAATGCCCAGATAGGTGACACTTCTGGGCTATAGTTATCCCAGAGAAACCTATAGTAACTGTTGGGGGCAAGAATGTCATTCTGGCTTTGCATAATGGACCTTAACCATCAAGCTGGGGTATTAAATGTGTACTTCTCACCACACAGACATGAGATGCAACTTCCCTAATAACCCCAGCAGAAGAAACATCTGTGATGTTGAAGATGAGATAATATAACTATGGCAGAGAAGAGCTGAGCTGCTGGTTTGAGGAGGTGTGTGCGCCCAGGTCTGAACACATGTACAGCCTCTTGGCTTGAAAGAAAGACTGAGCAACAAAACCCAACAGAATAAGTCTCCTGAAATGGGTATTTCATCTTATGAGAGGGATATGACACTTTTTCCACCTCCTTCAATTACCTGACTTGTAAGAAACATAGCCATTTGAGAGAAGAAAACATTTCTTTTCTTAGTTATGCCAATAGCAGTATCATGAGAGAGAAGAGCCTTTAGAACAATCTACAGATCCTGGAGACCAGGCAGTGAGATAAAGCATACACCTGAAGGGCTCAAACCCTGTCGTGTATACGGAAAGGTTGTTTATTGTTATTATCAGCGATGGTGGTGATTTTGTTATTATCTGTGATCAATAGTATGTTTCAAAGAAGCCAGAGAGCCAAAAGAGAGACCAAAGCATGGTCTGACAACTGAACTTTTAGCTTATTGGAGCCACAGAGAAAATGATAACAGCAAAGCAGAACATCTTGCACAACCCATATAGGATGTCCAGCCTCCTCTCTGAGTCCTTGCCCAGTGCTGTCAAGCCTCCTTACTGAGGCCAGCTTTGCACGCACACCGGAGATCTGCTGTGAAAAGCCCTGTACAAGCTGCTGAACAAGTCCTCAGGAGGGCAAAGAGGTTCATTTTTTGTTGCAGGCACCCAAACCATCACCCTGGCCAAGCAAGGCAGCTTCAGGCACCCGCAAAACAGTGCAAAGTGGATGTGGGATGGCTCAGTCCTATGCCCCAAAACTAGCAAGGGTAAAACCTGCTATTACTTAGAAAAACTGCTGGAAAACCCTGGATGACTATTTTTTTTTTTTAATGGAACATCTTGGATATTGCTTATTTCCTTAGTAAGCAAACAGAAAAAAATCCCACTTCTATTTCCAAACTAAAAGTTAAACAGTTACATAAACCATATGACAGAAAACCTTTGGCTTATTCATGTGTTGGCAATTTCTTCCTTACAAGAAAAAAAAATGGGTTTGTAACTATTTCTCCTTAAAAAGCGTGCATGGAAACCACTGCCCCCCTCATGCCACTGACCTCTGCAGCAGAGGAGAGGACATCTGACCAGCCTCCATCTCCCCTTACTCAACTGGGCAACAACATGAGCATCCCCACTGTGCAGCCGTGACACAGGACTCTGTAGAAATCACCTCCCCAAACGCACGTGCAACCACTAAGAGGTTTAAGTCTAAGAGGAGATGCCATATCTGGGTATTTATACTCAGTTTCTCCCTTTAAAACAAACCACCACACAGAGCTTGGACAACCCTTTAGCTTTGTGCTCAAGCCCTCCCATCCACCAGAAAAAGAAGGGATAATGGCAGGGCCTGTCTCAGGGGAGCTGGGATCACTCCTGTAGGAGAAGAGGGCTTGGGGAAAGGCTGGGGTGAGAGGGAGAGAGTTAAGCAGGGCCAGCAGCATCGCCAAACCTGCTCTTGGCGCTCCCGTTCCAGCACTCATTCTCATTGACAGTGCCTACAGACATCTTTTCATCGTTGCAAATGTTGCCAGGGAGAGATGACCAAAATTTTTTGGCTTGCTTCAGCTTCTCTTTCACATCAGTAACCTATTAAATAAAATAAAAAAAGAGAAAACAGGACATAATCCAGAATACCAAACACTCATTAAAAGTGAAGCTGGAAAGGTATTTTTTATCACAACAGACGTGTATAGGCCAGATCTTCAGGCTGTATGTTTTGATGGTTGATTTACTTTTTTAATACAAAATTAAACACCGCTCCTCACACATTACTCATAAGCCAAGCCTTTAAAACAGGCACTTTTCTGACATAGAAGCGTTGAGGTAATTCACGTCTAGAGCCATGGGCAGATTACACCCCTCCGAGAGTTTGAGACAGCCAAGGAATATTAAGAAACCCTATAAATTACAAGTGGAAAATTACACACTGCGGTACAGGGGTGCGAAGCAGGACCAGGCACTCACCAGCCGGTCCAAGCTCGTGCCGGCAGCTGTCGTTGGCCTCTCCTCTGGGTTGTAGGGCCTGAAGCGAGCACTGAAACCACTTTCAGAGACAGAGCGCGCAGCCCGGCCCTGGGCAACAGCTTTTGGCTGGCCGCATCCCTGGAAAACCTACATGAGAGAAGGAAAGGGTTTTATGAGATGGCAGGTCACAAGAGCCTCCCTTCTACAGGCTCCAACACAGCCTCTGCCCAAAGTAACACATCAGCTTTATATATACTTGAAAGGGCATTAAAGAAAAAACCCATTGATGAGAGCAGGGAAATAAAATGCATTGGATAAATCAAGGTGCCCATTTACCTTCTGCGACACCTGCATGCTGTTCTCCTGCATGTTCATGATTGCATCTGAAATCTTCACATCAATGGGGTCCATGACTGACTCGATGTTGAAGGGACCCTCTAGCCTCTCTGCTACCAGCAGCATCGAATCTAACACAGAGAGACAAATGAGGAGCTTTTTAATCGAGGAGCTTCAAGACTAACAGGTAACAAGGACAACAGATGGAGCACACAGATGTTAATCTCCACGACATTGCTTCTGACCACCACACATCTCCAGGAAACATTTTGCTCCATTCCCAGAGCCGTCACCAGGCACTTCCAGGCTGCCAGCACCAAGCTACAAGCTCATATACATCAAAAGCCATGTTAAAGGAGAGAGAACCATTGCAGCCTGCCAACAGGCAGCCTGTAATCAGCTCCTCCCATTAGAACAAGCATTACTAACACCCTGCTCTCCATCCTCCGCTATTAAAGGACGTCTTGTGTCATTTGTTTTTCAAGACTGCTTTCAAAGCCACCGGCTTCCTCATGCTGCTCCTGAATGCAAGACTCCAATGGGAAAGGGCCCAAGATGATCATCGTTACCAGCTCTGCCTCGTGGAAAGCTACAGGCTTTGCCACGCCTGGGGAAGCCAAGGGATTGCATGGACAATTTGCATGAGGGAGACTGCATGAGACCAGGGTAAATGCTGGTTTTATACATATATACATACACACACATTTATCTATATATACACACCTCACTGGGCACTAATGATGTCTTTGGCACATCTCTAGCAAGGGGAGATGGAAAAGTCCCCCAGCCAACACTAGGTCATTCCTCCCGTGCCGACATGCACGTCCCCATCAAATACATCATTAAACACAGCAGCTACTGAACATCTACTACTTCCTCTGGGAAATTATTATTGGCATTAAGGCTTTTGCGCTGCATTGCATTTAAGCCCTCTCTCTGGTTCTCCCCTAGAAGGTGCCTCCAGGTACATGCCTGCTGCTACACACTCCCCTCTTCTTGCCCATTGCAACCTTTATTCCACATCAGTTTTTACCATGGTCCCTCCACCCCAAAGCACCCTGTTTGCTCGTCTCCTCATCATCACTTCATGATGCTCTGCATAAACTCACCATTTCCCAATTGCATTAGTTCTTCAGTTTTTCCTAGCCTGTGTGATGTAGAAGGCCAGGGCACAGCAGCTACTCTGGCCCTGAAGAAACCCCTTCCTGAGGAGCTCCTCCCCACTCCTGTTCCCTTCCATTAAGGAGAAATGGGCATTTCCCAGTCAGTCTATTAATATCTTTGCAAAGTCCTTCTCATGACGTTCATCCTCCTCCTAAGCACAGAAGGTACTTTCAACAAGCAGAAAACTGCTGTGGGCTCTGGCTACCTGCTAAAGCCCTATGAAGATATTCCATATACTGAACAATCCAGTAATAGCTGTGCCTCAGTGCCCAAGTCATGTTAAACTACACTAAAAAAAAAAAGCCATAAACTGATGACAAATAGACAATTAAGCTACTTTTGCATTTAAAATAGTAACGGTAATAATGGTAATGATGATGATAATGATAATAATAATAGCAAAACCCATAATAATACCAAACCCCATGAACTGCAGATACCCTCCTAGCCTGTAAATCCACTTTTTAAAGACAACTCAACTCAATATTGTGAAGATTTGCTGGGTGTTGGTTAAAGGTCTATCATTTGATCAACCCCATCCTAAACCCAAGGTGCTTAGGAGGAGCTGGAGCCCTGAGGAAACCTCCTTATCCCGCAGGCACACACCACCAGCATCAGTGACAGAGCTGCTGCAGGGCATGGCTCGAATTTAGCCATCAGGGACTACAAACAGGTCTGAACTAAATGCATTTTAAAAAAAAGAAAGGGAGGGGGGGAAAGAAGGTAATAACAAATGAAACAAAGAGTCTTAGACTGTATTGTGGTGGGCTCCAATAAAGTGATGCTTCGAATCTCTGAGTAATGACTGCTAGCATGAATATACCATTGTGCCGGAGGGGAGAAAAATGCTTTTGATGTGCTACCAAATGGAGACTTTTTGTAAACAAGTGGAGCACAACTTAAATGTGTTCATCATTGTCCTGGCCCGGTTTGGAGGAAGCTGCTCATTTCAAATAAAAATATTATGAAAAGACAGACAATAAAACACACAAAATGCAGAGTTTCAAACAAAACAGAAAAATCCGGCCCAAAAATCATTCCATTTTGTAACTACTTCATTCTCTGAGTGGCCAGGAAAGGCCGCAGATCAATAAAGTGTTTGTGAAAGCCTGAAAGGAAACATAAACCCCAATTCTTCTGGCTGTTTGGCATCTTTGTAAACTTTGAGCCGGGCAGGCCATCCACAAGACCATGGGAATGTAGAGCGAATTGGGCCCTTTGTTAGCAGGGGTGCCATGGCGTTCCATGTATCACAGCCCAGGAATGCAGCCTCCGCTTTGACTGCCCATAGAGAAAATGCATTCGGCCTCCAGCAGAGCTGCCAAAGCTGCCGGGGAAAGATAAGGAGAGTAATAATTGGAGCAGGGATTGATACTGGCAAAGAGGGCTAAAGGAAATAAACTTCCATTAAAAAGAAAGGAGGGGAAAGAAAAAAGGGAAGGGGGGGGCTTTACCTCATCCACAGCTTTGATTTTGGAGGCATCCTGCATGCTCCTACCTCCCACCAGGAGCTGGCTGGTGTCCCCACCACAGTCATGGTGAGCAGTGTTTCCCCCCAGCAGCCGCCTCTGACATTCATAAGGTTGGCTGGGGCTCAGGACAACACTGGCACCACAGCACACAAGAGGGGAGGCATGCTGCACCAACACCAGGAATGAAGCTTCGTGCAACTCACCTCCCAGAGTGATTTTCCCATTAGTCAAGAAAGGAGTTGATTATAAAGATCAATGATTTTTGCCCCAGCTCTGGTGCAAAATAATTGCTGTTTATAAGCCAGTGAGGTGCTTCACAAAAAGGAAGGTCTGGCAGAGTGAAAAATGTACCCAGGCCATTTATTACAAACACACAGCATGACAAAGAGTGCCTCCTCCCTGTGATGGCGAGATGGAAGTGGATTTGAGGAGGGAACACCCCCCCCAACCCACACCACATAGCCCCATCCCTTAAAGACCCTTTTCCTCCTGCATACATTTGTCCTTGCTACTGGCATTGAGACAATCCTTGGCAACAAAGCACCTCGCTCTCATGAAGGCAAGCAATTCTTTCACATTGTGCCCCCAATAATCAGAAACCCACATCTTCAGCCTCACTGTCTGACTTGAAGAACAAAAGGCAGTTTTCAGTCTTAACCCCAAGATCTGATTTAAAAGGGGAGGGGAGGAGGGGGAAGACCTTGACCATTCATTAACAACGATCTTTTCTTAAAGGGGAAAAAAATGCTTTGCGCACAAAGTCGTACTCCAGATATGTATATATAGAGCCTGAATTCGACATCTCTGAGCAGAATAAACCTTGGAGGGGAGGGGGGGAAATACACTTAAGAATAAAAATGATGAAAAGGCACTGGAGAGTAACACTGTTCATTCAGGAAAGCTCCGACCCCCGCAACAGCTTGTTTGAAACAAAGTATACCCCTGTCTAATTGGGGTACAATTGTGTTAGGAACAGAGGGCGAAATAATTCAGATAGTTAAATCAGAGAAAAGAGTACAATTCCCTCATTATTTCCTACACCACAACTTTAAATGGTACTTTCCAGAAGTAAGGAAGTAAAAAGTCTTGTCTCAAAAAACTCTAAAACTTTACATCCGAGTTTGGAAAAGCTTTATATAAGTGACTCGCGTACAGACCCACCAACACACACGTGAGCATTTCATACACACGTGCACCCATTCATATGTACTTCCAGCATTTGTTCCAAGTTCTCCCATTTAACTATCTTTAAATTATGTTGCTATATTCAAAATCCGGTTTTGACACATAATAAATCACTGCCATCATTTAGCACTTAAAGCCACAATGCAAAATAGCACTGAGGCGATGCAGATGGAGTGGGGTTTTTTTTGTTGTGGGGTGGTTTTGGGGGAGAAATTTGGGATTTTGTTTTATTTATTAATTCATTTAAACCTTCCAGTCCCTACACACAGGATATGTGTGACATACGACCTGCCCCAAACACCTGATCTATCTGATTTTATTTGCTCAAGTGGCAAATTGAGATAGAACCCAAAATGTGGAACACAACAAGCACCCGTCAGTCATGAAACTGTCTAAAGAAAGCACAGCTTGAGTTTTTGGTGCACTGCAAGAATCAACCCAGAGTGTAAGAACCAAGCAGATACCGCCAATAAATGTAACGAAGCTTAATACCATACTTAAGTAATGAATGGGCACGAATTCCCACAGAGAATTCCTCCCTTGGAGAGGAAGCCCTGCTTAGAAGAAAGCTTTGCTTCCAACCTGGAATCGTATTTATTTACATTGTCTTGTTTAATAATCTTAATTATTGTATGCAGTCCCTGATCAGTCTCGTGTGACAGGGCTCGCTGGCTTCCCCCGAGGTTCATTTTTAGCTGCGTACCACCTACAGCAATTAGCTGCTTGTGCTTTTGTTTGGTTTCTGGCATTATGCCCTTCTCTTTCATGGGATTCCTCTTTTCTACTAGGACTAGATGTTTGCAAGTCTCCTGGCTTTGAGCTATTCCAGCAACAATTGTAGCTGAAATACTTAATATTCTCATGAGAAAGATGGCTGGGAGGAATTGAGGGGAGTGTCAGCCATCCAGAGAATGACTTGGAAACCCGATTTAGTGTCACATTTAACTCCCTATATGGAATACACAGGCAAAAAAACATCTTCTGAAAATAATACCCTGCACACATCCAGTTGGTGTGGGCAAAGTGAAAAGCCAGCGTGCAAAACATGGGAAAGCAAATTCTAAGATTTAAATCTAGCCTGAAATGCCAATTATCAGCAATTTCCCTTCTTTTTAATCTCACAGCTTAATGAAAGAGGAATCTTTTCTTTCTAACAGTCTCTCTTCTCCGTGAGTGGGATGGGAGGAGTACCACAGCCTTGTCAGTAGTAGCAGACACTTCACATGTGCACTTGAACACACATTAACTGGAGTGAAGCGACTGCTCCCAAAGGATGCTCCTCCACAGATAAACCAAGCCTCCTGGAAAAGGAGCCCAAATGAAAACATTTAACATTATCTGTTGCCGGTGCCCCCAGGGCGTGATGCATCGTCACTTCTTGACCCAAGGTAGAATTTAACATTCCAGTCTAGATTTCATGTACTGAATAATACGATCTCTAAGCACAGAAGTAACAAAGAGGAGGAAGAAGATGGCAAAAGCACTCACACAGCATCACGTAAACCAATGTTTCAAAAGGATGGTGGCCAAGTGCCAATGAGCTGTTTAAAAACCAGATTCAGGCACACATCCCATTCAATGCCTTAACGTAAAATACAGGCCTACAGCTTTTCCCAAAGCTCCCCGTGGCTGGCGGGGAGACTCCAGGCTGCTGAGCAAGAAAACTGGCTTCAGGAAGAACAGGTGATGGTGACAGGAATGTATAAGGAGCAGTATGGAAAAAACAGCTTGCACACATGCTTGGCCAAGCAAGAAGAGACACGCCAAGCCTACAAGAATGTGTCAGCTCCATCCTTCTAAAGCTTGCTGCAACAGAGATCACTGGTACAACAGAAGTCTCGTTTATTTAGGAATGATTCTATGTACTTTTCATTTAGATATTAGAAAGAAATTCTTTATTGTGAGGGTGCTAAGGCGCTGGCACAGGGTGCCCAGAGAAGCTGGGGCTGCCCCATCCCTGGCAGTGTTCAAGGCCAGGTTGGACACAGGGGCTTGAAGCAGCCTGCTCTAGTGGAAGGTGTCTGTTCCAGCCCATGGCAGCGGGTTGGGACTGGATGAGCTTTAAGGTCCCTTTAACCCAAACTAGTCTGTGATTCTAGAAAATTATCATGAACAGCAAAAGGTGTGGAAGCAAAACACATACAGAGGTGTGGAAGGAAAAGACACCCATCACAGACACCTAAAAAACTTGCTATAGCTCAGCGCAGCCACTCATTAAAGCCATTCAGATGAGGGACATGGTATCAGTACATGCTCACATGAATTTTTAACCTGTATTGCCTTACCCATAAAGATATTCCACTCGGCATCCAAGTCGCCTTGGTTGGCCAAGCAGCCTCTCATGACATTAAAGCAGTAGTTGTAGCAGGGTTTCACCGACACCAGACCTCGGCAGTATGGGCAGTACATCATTTTCAGCAGCGCTCGTGTGCCCTGTGGCGTGGGGTTCACCTGTACAAGACAGAAAGGGGAAAGGAGAATAGAATTAGCCCTCATCTGCTACAGCAAAAAACCCCATGCATTTACCCCAGGGTGGGCTGGAAGAGAAGCTGTGCAGAGGAGATGCAATGGGGTCAGCCACCACTCTCCAGTCGGAGCTCCCCCTTTATGTGGTCTAGAAATCTGGGGAGCAGACAACGGGTTTGGCTTATGTCCTTGGGTGTACCTGCCACTTACAGGGCACAGACAGTCCCTACCTCTGCAAAGCATTGTCTGCACTGCAACACACCTTGTGTATGGTGGGACCCATACAAGGACAGGCACCCCAAGAGGACATGCAGTGCTTGACCTCAGGGAAGCAGTAAAACATGAGCAACCCAAAAGGCGTGATGCGAGGCTGCACGATCCAAGCCCTGCTGCACGCACACACTGACAACAATGACGCTGGGCTTTCTTAGGGACAAAGCAGCCAAGATGGGGTGCTTACCACTATCCCTGCACCAAACCCACCCAGTGTGCCTTCCTTCTCGCCGGTGCTGCGGCTCGGCTCTGCTCGGACAATCGCCCAGCAGGGCTCTCCGGCAGAGAGGCCCGCTCCTTTATCTTACATTCAGCTCCTGCAACACAGCATTTACATGACACATACCCAGGTTCATTTAGACTCAGCACTCATCATGCTAAGTAACACCATTCCCCACACCCAAAGGAGGTGGCAGCTACAGCCCTGCAGCTGAGGACAAGCCGGGAGGACCCTCAAAGCCCATATGCAACCACTGGGCATGCAAGCAGAGCTATCTCCAGCAGTAACATCACCCCCTGAGCCCTCCACAGGACTAGTTTCCAAAGTGACTCATGGTCATTCATGTTTGATTCACCCTCTGGCCCAGCTTCAAAACATTCATTGAAACCATTTCCACCCAGCCGGTCTGAAGAGCATTAGCTCCAGCACCACGTACCAATGCTGGCCACGTGGTGGGTCTGTCTTAAAGTACCGAACAGAGAAGCTCCCCAAAGAGCAAGTTTAAGTGTTAATTAGTCACACATGAAAATGGAAAATTAAGATGCAATCAGAGATACACTGACAAAACAGAAGTGGTCTCTGGGGTTTAAAGCGATGTGCTCAAGACTTCTTGTAAGGCATTTATGGAGAGCACTCTAAACAGGTTATGATCCAAGACTGTGCTGAAGGAGGACACACACACACGGACCTGAGAAAGACAGAAGTCATTCAATACAAACAGATGGAGACGTGGATGGTCTCCGCATCTCATCTGCTGGAGGTCTGGAAATCAACTTCATGGCAGAGAGGACAACAGGACTGAATGGAGATGAACATAAGCAAGCAAGAAAGACCTGGTACCACACATATGAGGATCTTACTATTGCAAAGCCCATCTTGGCATGAGGGCTAAGGAGAAACTGAACATAATCTTCTGGTGCAAAAACTAGTTGGCAGCACATGAAACTAGGAAGCAATGGTTTTTAACAAAAACAGACCAGAAATCCAAAACCCCACTACTTAATCAGCCCAGGTCTGCTAATGGTATCAGCAGATTTTTAAACCCTTTTTTCTTATGAAAAGAGATAATAGATAAAAATCTGTTATGTCTTAGAAACCGTGTTTCTAACAAGTCCAGACACACCACAGTTTCTCTTCAGTAGGCAAGGAAACTGGTTAGAAAGACAGAAAGATGTTTTTCTGCAGTTGATGCAGCTCAGTGCTGGCCAGCAGCGTTCATTCAGACATCACTTCACCCCTCTTCTGCCACCTTTACCCCTCTTTTGTCCACAAAGAGCCTGTCTGGCTGAGCAAAAGGAGACTCTATGTAGAAAGCTGTTTGTGGTGGTGGTGGAATCTGATTCAGATGCTTCAGAGCACATATATGTGTGTGTGTTTTTATTTTTATATATAT